AATTCTGCTCTAACGATTGCTGAATACATCTCCTTTGTTCAGGTGCTTATCATGATCTTATATTCCAGGTGCCAAATTCAACCCACCTGTAGCTCTCCCCAGTAGAGCTTTGTCCTGAGCCTCTTGGCCCACAGGTGATGTCTGAGACAAGGCCAGACCAAAAAGAAATGTGTGTGGGCTCCGTGCGCGTGTAGAGATGTGTTAGACAAGTCACCTTTAGATGGTCTTTCCTCAACCATGAGCTCATCCAGTCTGCCCATATGATAAATTTGACCTTTAAGTTAGCCTTGAAATGCTGAACATGCATCTACAGAGGACTGTCAATTACAGTGGAAAAGAAACAGATAAGCCTTTTGTTAGCTTATGGATGAGGTGATCAGCATAAAATGTTCAAATTCTGTTAACCTTCAAGAGGAAAAGTTAGAAGACTCCTGACTCACTGGCATAGAGAGAATCAGAGTTTTTCAATTTTATTTTACAGAGTAGAGCCCAGGGAAGTTTTACAGCTCACAAGAGCCAGCACTGCTGCAGGGCAGGCACCATGGTCGCCTCTGTAGATAGCTTTTCTAGGCTGCATCTTTGTACATAGGCTGTACGAACCTCCTTCACACCACCCATTTCTCACAGAAAGACTTGGCAGAGCATGAACAAAAGGAGTAAAACGCTTTTAAAAAGAGTAAGGCATTCATTTTTTTTGCCATTCCTTTGGCTGTAGCAGTTTGCTCTGAAGTGGTGGGCTCGTGTCCCTTTGAGCAGCCACACCTGGTAAGAGGTCCACAAACCTTTTCTGCTTACTCTCAGCTCTGCATCTCCTGACTTTGGCAGACCTTTAAATACAGCCACCAGTCCGCATTGGCTGAAAACTTGCTATTCCACACAAAGCAACGTTCAGGGTTTAGCCCATGTTAGGAAAAGGTGGCTGACAATAGCTAGACCAGAACACTGGGTCTTCAGACTCAGATGTAGCTCAAAGCAGAAAAAAACCAAAAGGAGTGCTTTTTGCCAGCATAGCTGGAATGGATTCAGTTGTACCAGCAACAAACTCTTGCCAGGTAACTCTGCTACCTGGGCTTCTTACTTCTATATAAAAAAAAAATCATTAAAACTTCTATACAAATGAGACCGTCTTGCCATAATTTTTGCTTAACAGATGCACACTGAGGTTGGTAATGCAGTTTGATATTGCAAGTATGACTCTCAAGAGAAGTGTGAATAACAATGGGTTTCATTTAATGAGTAAAAGGACTAAGGTTGGTTTTTTTTTATTTTATGTCGGTTATGAATTGCTTTCTAAGCACTGACTTTTCTCCAGGACATTCATCCATGAACTAGTTAATAGTGTACAAGGTAGCCTTAAGAGAAGCCTACAGAGATTTAAAATAAGTGCTGGTGAAGTATGAATTTTCTACTGAAACAACAAATGCAACATGAGAGGCTGCCTGGAGACCAAGCCCATCTTTCATAGCAGAGGCTTGGAAAAGCTGGATTTCACCCTCTTGGAGGAGAAGGTGTCAGGAGCAGCATCTTCTGCTGCTCTTCGGGAAGGACCCCCACGGTGATTGTGTGTCAATGCACAGTTCTCCTCCATCTTTTGCTCTGAAGGTCAGAGTACAACCATATTTCCTAACTAGCACTTTCTAACCAATGCTGTCCTTCTCCAAGGTGGTTACAAACAGAAGGAGGAGCTGGCATCTGCCATGCTTCATTCCCACTGATGTCCTCCCCATCCTCCTGCCTTGGCACCTCACTTTATCAGCTGTGGGGGCTTACAGTGCCCCCCCAGGCATGAGACAGAGCCGAAGCCTGATATTCATGGGGTGTCACATGCCAGGGGTACCAGCAGCAGCCTTGATGCCCACCAGGGTGCACGAAGCAGGGCAGCGTGCAAGGCTGGTCGACACCCCTCCAGTGCTAATCCCTGGGGAAAGGCAGCACCTGAGGATTGCTTTGTGCTTTGAATTTCAGCAAAACCCAAGTTCTAAAATATCACCTAAAAAAGACTGAAAACTGAGGAGGGTGGGAGGTGGGGAATCCTGCCAGGATTGTATTCGTCTTGGAAGTTGGAAAAGTTTTTATGAGATGTCGTATAATTTTACTGTTTTCCCCCATTTCACCACACGTCATTCATAGGATAACAGATACCTTTAAACCTGCATGGCATAATGTAACATTAAAAGAATCTTACAACACTTATCTTCATTTAGGCCAATTGTTCCTACTGAATCAAGACATTTTATCTCATTTTCTAGATTAAATCGGTTCCTTGGTATGTCATCAAAGCATCAAACAATAAAAGCAGGAGACGCTTTGTTCTAATAAGTAAATGTTGTGGCACATGCAAAGATCCTGGTGTCATTAGTATGAAAAGAAAATCCAAGTGTGAAAATAAAAAAAAATCCAAAATGGAGTTTCTGAATTTTGTCAGGGTTTTCTAAAGATTTAAACCGCATTTAAAAAAAAAAAAAAAGCGCTTTTTTTTTTTCCCTAATGGAATTTTCTATGGTTTATGTTTACATGATAAAAGTATTCTCATTTTAAAAAAATCCACAGGCAGAGCCAGTGGGAAAAAAGCTCTGTGGGCTGGGTCGGGCACAGAGAAAAGCGATGAGACACTGCAGAAGTCGCTGGCAGCGGGATGAAGCTGTGCGCCAGCGAGAGCCATATCTACTCCATCTGGCTTGGGCTCCACTTCGCCCAAGAAGTCCTCCTTTTGAACAGGGAGATACCAGTCACCATGACTCCACCAGAAAAAGAGGTAGCCTCCCAGATTTGCTTATCTCAATCATCTTGAAAGCACCCCTAACTTCCTTGGCAGCGGTAGCCAAACAAGAGCTGTAAAATACTGTTTTCCCTGGTCTGGTCGAACTCGCAACTCAGCATATGTGGTGAGGAGCTCCCAAAATAGCTCCCGGTTGCCTCACCAGACTCGGCAGCAGCAGCTCGAAAAGCCTTTTGTCTTCTGGGACGGCTGGGAGAAGTTTAAAATGTTTGGACTTATTTTGAAAGTACTCCGAAAGATAAGAATGATCTATTCCAAGGCCGGGTGAAGTGAAGGTCACAGCTAAGGCATTGCACAACACGACCATGTAAGTTCAGCACGAAACTGGCCCAGGGTTTGATCAGCTCATCGTCGCTGCTGCTGCCCCTGCCTAAAGCCGGGTCAAAGCCGAGGCTCTTCCACCAAAAAAAAAAAAAAGCGCTTTTTTTTTTTCCCTAATGGAATTTTCTATGGTTTATGTTTACATGATAAAAGTATTCTCATTTTAAAAAAATCCACAGGCAGAGCCAGTGGGAAAAAAGCTCTGTGGGCTGGGTCGGGCACAGAGAAAAGCGATGAGACACTGCAGAAGTCGCTGGCAGCGGGATGAAGCTGTGCGCCAGCGAGAGCCATATCTACTCCATCTGGCTTGGGCTCCACTTCGCCCAAGAAGTCCTCCTTTTGAACAGGGAGATACCAGTCACCATGACTCCACCAGAAAAAGAGGTAGCCTCCCAGATTTGCTTATCTCAATCATCTTGAAAGCACCCCTAACTTCCTTGGCAGCGGTAGCCAAACAAGAGCTGTAAAATACTGTTTTCCCTGGTCTGGTCGAACTCGCAACTCAGCATATGTGGTGAGGAGCTCCCAAAATAGCTCCCGGTTGCCTCACCAGACTCGGCAGCAGCAGCTCGAAAAGCCTTTTGTCTTCTGGGACGGCTGGGAGAAGTTTAAAATGTTTGGACTTATTTTGAAAGTACTCCGAAAGATAAGAATGATCTATTCCAAGGCCGGGTGAAGTGAAGGTCACAGCTAAGGCATTGCACAACACGACCATGTAAGTTCAGCACGAAACTGGCCCAGGGTTTGATCAGCTCATCGTCGCTGCTGCTGCCCCTGCCTAAAGCCGGGTCAAAGCCGAGGCTCTTCCACCCGACACCTCACCAGGCCCAACGCTCCCATAGCTTGTCCTAAATACCGGTGGGGCGATGCCAACGAGGCGGAGGAGACGGGTCCTTCCCTGCCAGAGCACTGTTTGGAGGAGCCTCCAGAAAAATGAAGGAAATCAGCTCTGTTTCCGAGGAGAAGCTGCAATCACTGCCGGAGAAGCACGCTCTCTCTCCGGGAAGGCTAAGGCACACTGCATCCCGGCCAAAGGCTATTTTCTAACTGGATCTGGCAATATTTCAGGCTATCTCCAGTTAGGACAAAGCCTGAATAGTTCTTGCTATGTTAAACAAGGGGTATCCCCAAGCTGCTCTTTATACTGCGGTGCTTCAGCTCCCGTGGGCTTTGCACGGACAACACGGCCCTCATCCCTGCGGAATCATGGGAAACCCCTCCCTGCTCCCCGAGAAGGCTCCTCTTCCGTGAAAATATCACTTACTCTTGAAAAATGATTCCAAAACAACTATATACATCTGTGGCTCCCCATCAGTTTTCTGTCAACACGGCTCATGTTTCTGAGCACACTCTCCTGCGCCTTGGCCAGAGCCCTCTATAGAACTTCCCGCAGTCAGGCTGCTGGTTTTCTTATCCCAAATCCCAAACGGGTGGTTTCAAGTACTCCAGGCTTTTTTCAAAGACAGTTTGAAACCCAGCCAAGCCCACGGGGGATGTGTGTGTAACTCTTCTCCCGACCGACTCACAGTTGGGCTGGTTGTCTCCCAGAACGGGCAAGCTGGGCTGCAGCTGCTGGGTGCTGCCACCATCTCAGGGGAAAACCTTCCCATCCACACACCCCCCCCCAAAATGAGTGAACTTTGTGATTTTTAGCAGCAGTAAATGATTCCATTGGGGGTTATTTGACCACCAAAACTACACTGTGTTGGCTGAAGGGTTGAAGTGCAGATGCTCACATAAATACACATTGACAGACTCCACTGGATGCAGGATCATGCCCCCTTCCCAGCCCCAAACACCCCACCAGCCGGTCGCACACACTACTTGGAAGTCACACCCTCTCTGGGTCCAGCATTTAAATGTCTGGCCAAGACACAGTAAACCAGAGTGAAGGCCAATGTGCAATGTAGAGATCCATTATGCTTTATTTACATGCGTCACCATCTCTTTTACAAACTAGATTACAATTTAAAATGGAATACACAAGGCAATATCTACTAACACCAAGTGGAGTAAGCACTGCGTCTCTACTTCCTTTGGAAAGGGGCAGGTTTTGCTCCAAAACAAACTTCCTTCCAACCTCTGTGTAGTAAGGTAGTATATTCCTCCAGGGCAGCATCTTTTTTCTTTTTTTTTTAATATAAAATCCTCAGTAAGACTGCAACATGAGAGTGTCTGCTTTCAAATGAAAGTACAAGATAGCCCAAATGAAAAATATAAACTGTTCAGCTCTTCGGTATGTAAAGACGGCCATGCGCGATAAGGCTGTGGATTTAATATTCTTCCAATTTACATGGCTTGAAACAAAAACAGATAAAACAGTTTTACAGATACTGTATACATATTTTTTCCAATCATGCAACTTTTTTAAAAAAAAAAGTTAAACATGTGAAGCCAAATGTACAATCCATTTTTTCTAACCCATAGTAACGAAATGTATCTGGTCCCCCTTCGCATCTGTTGGCAATTCCTAAGGTATATCGTGTGCTAGAAACACTTACAGGACACCGATTGCCAAGCAATGACATCATTTTAGAGAAATACATGACCTAAAAGGTAACTTTTTGAAGCGGTGACAACAAAAATTTCTGGACTTAAGCAGTGGTCAACTATCCAATGATTCTCAAGAGAAATTTTTTTTACAAAATCATTAAATCAAGCCCCCAACCTGTGACTAGGAACTGTGTAAATGTCACCTTTTTAGACCTTTTCTTTAGACCAAGTGTTTAAGCAATAACTATGTAATTGTTCTGGACCTTTAGCTGTTTTACACGGTTTCAGAGGGAAAACTTCTAGGCATAAACATGTTCAAAGACTCAAAGGCCAAATTTTCCAAAGGTAGGTTCCCAAAATAAGACATTCAAGTCTGTATTTTGACACCTAAATAAGTGGCCCTTTGAATTCAGCAAGAATTATTTAGCACCTCTGGAGATGAGGGTGTTTGCTGGGCACCTTGGCAGGGGTAGAGTGTGGTGACCTTCTCCTGGGCCCGGAGGTACCTGGCACCTCTCCTTCCTCTGAGAAGCGATGAGGGCAGACCAGCTCACCCCATGCCACCACGCTGGAGTCCCCCACCTTCAGTGCCTGACTCCAGGCACTTCCGATTGAAAATTTCGGCCCCAAAAATGAGCAAAAGAAACCAAACCAAACTGAAGAGGCTGGCAAGTCCACCCCTCTTCAGTGAGTGCTGGGATGTTCTCCAAAGCAGGGGCATAACGTGTCCCAGCCACGCCAATGGAAATGCTTTCCTTGACGTTGGTGGGAGGCAGGTTAAGCCTTTCAGCCACTAATGCTTTTTTTTTAAAAAAAAAAACCTCTCTGCCATTGATGGGCTGTCTCTAAATCAGGTGTTTTTTCTCCATTTTCTGAACAGAACGGACCATAGTTCTCTCTCTCGTTCCTGCCAGTGGGAGCTAGCTCTGTTGGACTCAAGGGGGCCAGGCTGCCATAGCAGAGCAGAAGTTGCCCCTGTTTGGTTTAATCTAATGGGCCTTCTCTTGCCTTTGACAAGAACCACATCCCTACCAAGAAACAAAAATAAAATGATGGATTTTGGTCACCTTGGCCATACCATCAAGTCAGGCCTTACTGGTGCCGTCAGCGACCTGGTTGGTGGTCTTTGGGCAGGCACCCTGGGTCTCACCGACGGCTCACCCGTGCAGGGGCCAAATGCTGTGCCCCAGCACGGGGAGCCACCAAGTGAGCTCTGCTGGTGGCAAACACCGTGGGGCAGGGGGACGAGCCCAGCCACAGGGTGGCAACCACGGAGGAACCTTGGGGAAAGGAGCACCGGAGGGAAGTCCTTCAGCGTACACCCGCATTTCAGGGTGTACCGGGAAGCTGAGAGCTAATGCTACACACTCAGGGGAGGCTGGTGACAAAGCACTCAAACAACCTTGGTAAAAGGTGCCTGCAACGGACTCGGGTAAGCAAAGCGACCTCTAGCCCAGGTGACCACTGTGCCACACGAGCGTCCTGGGTAGCTGGCTGCTGACAGAGATGGGCAATGAGCATCAGTTAACTCCAATAAATGTAACAAACTAGTCCCCACGCTGACAAATAGACCATCTCAGTGTAAAAAGAAAAGAGAAGTTTTTTTAAAAGGCAAATGAAAAACCCTTGGCTGCTTGGAAGAGTCGATAGGCTATAGGGCTACGATAACCACGACGGCACAGAGTCTACACGGTCAGAACTGCGGGGGAGAAACCAAGAGGTGCATCTTTATGAGAGGACACCATGGGGGCTACGATACAAAAACAAAACTTCCATCACACTAGGAGCTGTTGTGTCACTAATATCACCTCAGGGACCTGGAAAGTAATGAGCGAGGAAGGGCCCACGAATGGGGTGTGTGCATGTGTGTGTGTGGTGTGTGTGTGGGTGTGTGTGTGTAAGACTGTGCATGTGCGGTGGCAGTGGCGAGAGGGAGTCACTCCACATTGCATGGGACACGGGTCGGTGGGAACTCATGCACTGAGACTTTGGGTTAAAATGCTAGTTTTTTTTCCTAACATCCATGCATAATGATCCATTTCTGTACATAATAAAATATATTTATATATTTATATGCATAATGCTTTTATGCAAAGAAAAAAAACTTCATATATCGCTTTGGAGAATTATGTATACACTGTCCTATTCAGAACCTCTTCACATCGAGTTCCTATGTACCACTGGTGTTTTCCCCTCTTTTTTTGTATCCCTCCCCCCCCAAAAGATACTAATAAAAAGTAATCAAACTTTCCAGATTATAGAGAGGATCTATACAGCACCATACCTTTTATTCATTATTATTATTAATTATTATTCATTTTACAAAAGAAAATCTTAGAAGCAAAATATATAAAACTGCCTTGTCTTTCAGTGTCATTTATCCTGTTACAATCTATACCCATATGAAAAGCCATTTGTATGATACTGTCACCTTGCCATTCCCTCTCCTGCTTCTTCTGCCACAAAAGATTATACATAATGAGAAGGAAAAAATAATCAAGGATATGTCCAAAACAAAAAAAAAAAATCAAAAAAAATCAACCCAAAGGATCACTGATGCAGTAACACACCCTGCAACGACCTGTGCCTCAGCTCCCGGCGTTGCCACTGCAAGTCACCTGCCGATGCCCAACCTCTGCGCTTAGCTCTTCTGCCAAGTGGCGTGTTGCCCTTAATTTTCGTTTTTTTTCAAACACATCTTTACAGGTGGCCGTGTTCCACTTGTCTGGCAGCTCAGCTTTTAACTCCTTACCACCTCGCCGTGGCGAGTAGGGGCTACCAGAAGGCAGGAGGGGGGAGCCCGCTCCGGCAAGCGGCAAAGGGGCTCCTGCCTCGGCGCCCGTGCGGGCCACGGCCCCCGCTGTCAGTCCGTCCTCACGAGCCAAGAGGCAACGCTCGCCGGCTTCCCTTGGTTTGTAATCGACCCCGGTTCGACGCTTACAGAAAACAGGGGTGTACCATTCAACGTAAGGAAAGAATAAGGAAAGAAACAAACAAACCAACCCAACAAACTAACAGGCCACACTCATCACCTCTCTCTGGAATTCAGCCGGTCGATGGGATTAACAAACGCAGTAGAGTCAGAAAACCCTGACGTCTGAGCAGTGTTGGGTTATGATCATCTCCTCTGATCATCGCGCAGGACTTCAGATTCCCCAGGGAGAGAAAGCAAACATGGTCAAAAATCTAAGGAAATCAAACTGGAGGTTGTAGGGGGGAGGGCGAGCAGATAGGGAAAAACCTCCAAAAAGAAAAGCCAACTTAAAAACATCCCATAAACCATTAATATATTGAAACACCACATACTCATTGACAAGTAACTACTGTAAAGGCTACACAGTGTGTTCTCAACAGGATGGTGCTGAACATTGTCTCCACAGCAGGTGCTTGGCCATCCCAGAAAAGGAAGATTTTGCATACTTCAGAATGAGTTCAATTCCCCAAAAAAAAAAAAAAAAAGAAGGAAAAAAAAAAAAAAAAAAAAAAAAAAAAAAAAAAAAAAAAAAAAAAAAAAAAAAAAAAGGGAAAGGGTGGGGTTGCCCAAAAAT